ATTCTCACAACGCTGCCCTACACTACACGGTCATTGAGAATGGAAGTGAGATACAGTTATTTGGACATTAGTTTTTAGAGGATTGTTACCAATACCAATACAATAATGTCCAAATAACTGTATCTCACTTCCATTCTCAATGACCGTGTAGTGTAGGGCAGCGTTGTGAGAATTCCATCGGCATCGAAAGCAAGTTTTTTAACTTGCCTAGATAGCCGAGCGGTCTAACGCGCTGTTCCTATACTGCTAGGAGACAGATTCCGTAGGTCGAGAGTTCAACCCCGGGCTGGGGCGGAAGTGAGTATCCTTGTAAAAGTGAATTTCTCTGTGCTTTCTATATTAATATTCCTTCACTTAGGGCAGTTATATTAGTTTAAGAGTTGTTGTAATTTGTGCTTTATATATATATATATATATATATATATATATATATATATACTGGATTCCGAAACTTCATAATAATCCTTACAAACGATTTAAGATACATAGCGGGTTCCAGTAAATGTTTAACCGAGCCTAGCTCTTTCTTTACTCCTCGGTTAGATATAAACAGTAGCGAAGGAGATACTTTAAGAATACTGTGCAACAATATATTCGAGAATTGGTGTAAATCAGATGGGATACTTAGATTCTAAGGAACTTTTGGATCATTTGACATCTCTCAAAAATCAACAGCTTAAAACGTACGTGACTTTTCAACTTTATGCACGACCACTCCTCACGATAAATTAATGTCCAGGCTTTTTGGTATTATTGACAGCTGGATTTTCAATATTTTTATTTTTAAAGAAAAAGGTTACCAAAAACCAACTGTAATTATATATATTTTTTAAATTTGATTTTACTGGACAAAATTAATGCAAAATTCTGAACCTTTTAACTATTATTCATTATTTACCCTCTTTTTAATTTAAACAATATTTTATTATGATTGAACATAACAGGATTGGACAGCAGGCATTGCCTATACAAGTCCTCTCCATAAAACAAAGGTCAGACTCATGTATACATGTACAACTAAATGTTATTTACTCACATATAGAGAGTAAAAGCACTGAAAACAAGACACTAAACGTGCACTATAGTAAAATCAGTGATAAATGATAAAATGTACATTTAAAGGAAGGAAGATTAGATTATACTATATAAGAAAGCTTATCTTTTTCTTCTACAGTCATTTCCTTTTGTGTACGCTGAGGGGAAAGTTTTTCAACAGTAGAGTTCGTTAAATAAGAGGGTAAACTAAAATGAAGTTGATTTCAGTTCCTTTTTTTTAAAAAATTTATTTCTTACCTGATGGTTTTCTTATTAAAAAAATTAACGGATGAATTTTTTGAAGTCTCATGAACAAACACTTAAAAACGGAGTTATTTGGTTGTTAGGCTATGATAAAAAAAACTCTAGTGATTATGAATTACATGTATACGTATAATGTACGTTCAAAATGAACAATTTTAAGCGATAGTTTGTGCATGTAAAATTTTAAAATATCTGTTTGTTTTTTTAAATCACATTTTCTTAAGTTGTAAGGGTAGAAGAGGTTTTTTTATTTCAAAAAAAAATAATTAAGTACAGACTTGCATATAATCAAGTATTAACGTTTAAGGAAAATATACACCTTTTTACATGATATAAACTTAGAGGTAAGATATCTGTCTTCCTTTTTTACTTTCCTTCCTTTAAGTCACAGTATGACAATGAAACAGGAAATGACGCACGTGTTCTATATGTTAGACGTGTGAATGGCCATAAGAATTTTGTTGATGAAATTTGATGAAATTTGTCAGGATATACACCTTTTTCCGGTAATGGGTTATAAACTTCTCAACATTAATTTTTTTTAACATTATAACGTTCCTTCATATGAATCCATCTTGAATCCCAGCAAAAAGGAAATAAGGTATGAACAACTCAAAAATAATTCTCTCTTTTTTCTTTGTGTTTCTTCACTAGATAACCTACCTTTTTGATTTAACAAAAAATTACGGGGGTTGTCATAGAAAAACGCGAACTTTTTGAATATTTCAAATACTATTCAACCAAAACTAATAATTTTTTGCATGTTGTTGGAAAATGATAATTTTGCTATTTTGACAAAATATTACAGGCCCTAAAAATTAAATTCATCACGTTTACCATTAAAGTTTTATTGAACACGACTTTTTCTAGCAATATGAAAATTTTGTGTTGAAATCTGTAGTATCTTCTTACAATCTTTCAAAATTTTCATTTCAAGAAAGTCATTGTGAAACAGAAGAAACAATCAAATATTACCATAACCTGAATGCGTTCTTTCTCGCCCGCGTGGCGCAGTGGTTAGAGCGTCTGCTCTAGAGTCGCGAAGTAAGGCGTCGATCCTTACGTTGCGGGTTCGAATCACACTGTGGGACGTGGAAACCGGTTCTTCGGATGAGACCTTATAAATCGAGGTCCCGTGTCGCAGTAGGTGCTGGCACGAAAAAGATCCCTCAGTGCCGAATATGGGACAAAATTTGTAGCTCTCCACAGGCAAGTGGTGGTGTCTCCATATGAGTGAAAAATTCTCGAGAGGGACGTTAAACAGCATACAATTAATCAATATATAAATGCTATTAGATGCTTCGGAAAAACAGTGAATTCTGCGCCCACAAATTCTACACAGTCAACATTTTTTGAATATCAAATGTCGCAAAGCAAAGTTTACTGTAACTACTTCATTATGTCACTTGGATGCTTGGTTTCATAATTCGAAGCAAATATCTCAGGATGAATCAGTTTCGGCTTATTTACAGATTTACATACATGTATATACACGTTTCTATCACATATATAATTTTTATAAGGAATACTGATGGGAGGGAGTTTTTCTTCCAAACCCACAACAGATTCGAAAGAGACAACCGAAAAAGATGCCAGAACACACAACTATATTGTAGGTCTTCTAAACAGAGAAGATGAAAATGATTCTGACGAACCAGGTAAGCTTTTTATTCTCAGTTTATATGTTGTTACCCATGCAATCTGATTAAAATAAAGATCTCTACATAGCGCAAAGCGCATTTGCACTATTAGAGATCTGTATTTTAATCAGATTGTTACTTATGACGTTTTCTCCCAAAAACGACTTTGTTACTAATTAGAAACATCAGAAGAGGATTTTCCAATATCTTTGGACCTTAGAGATTTTGAGGACCCGTTTCCTTTTGAAAATCTTGTGTTTGAGGGAGGCGGAGCTAAAGGCGTGGCTTATCCAGGGGCTATCCAGGTATAAACATTTAGTGCATTAATATATATCATAAAATGATTTGTTTTACATAGATAAAAATTATGAACAAGCTTTTCAATAGAGTAACAATTTCCAGAGCAAAAGATTTTTGAAAAATAATAATTGAAATTCGCTGTATCGGAACAATGAAACACATGTATATGGAGTGTAATAAATCAGAATAAGTAAAGTGGACTGAAATAGGTTTTGAATCACCCAATGAAGTCATTTTATGTGCAGCCAATCAGAGTTGACATTTTAGCCAACCAAATGTTAAGAATTATTAACCAATTAGCACTTTAACGAACAGAGGCAAAATAGTATAAATTCAGGGATCAATCCAGCTTCGGTTACTCTTGGTGTAACTCTTTGTAGGGGTTAGGTGACTTAGGGAGGTACTTCGGCTGTGTCGGGAAACAACAGAATTGTTAATCAGACCACTCAGCAAAGGGACCTAGTTCCCTAGTGTCTTTTTGACTAGCTATGGTGTCTCGGTGACTTTAACTTGCGTCTAACCAAAAGTAATAGTGTCCTGTTGATAGCTATGGTGTCTTGGTAACTTAGATTGTGTTTGTGTTTCTTAAGGTGTATCTGTGACTTTATGATTTTTAGGGTGTGTTTTAGGTAGTTACAGACTGTGTCGGGAAACAACAGGACTGTTAGTCAAACCACTTAGTCTGCAGCTACAGGGATATTGTAAAAGGTTTGATCATTGATTTGATAAGTTAATAGTGATTCTTTTTGTTATAGTTCGTTATTGTTTAGTTTGACAATCATTATTCAGATAGAACCAAGGAAAACGTATATATATAGTGAATTTCAGTCAGTTACTTTTTTTAGTGCCATTGAAGCTATTGAAGTTTGTTTTGATTTTATATTATAAACGTGATTCTTAGGAAGGAAACCTAAGCGAACCCAATTGATAATCATTTGTACATTGTAAAAACGTTACAGGAGATAACGAGCTAAAAAATCTATTAAACAATAGCAATCAGGAACAGAATAAACACGAACCTCCGAAACATCAGAGATGAGATGAGGTGCCATGGAGGAGTGAGCACCCCCTGTCGACCAGTCACACCCGCTCCTTGTCATGATCTGGGAATGACAGTAAAATCCGATGATATTTTAGTGTGTAAATAACGGTCTAACAATTTGTATAAAACACGTCTTATATCATCTGACTAACATGTTTTAAATATACATTTATGACATATAAAAAGTATTACGTTGATATCAAAGTCAACAAACCAACGCCTTTGCAATACAATACATCAATATTAATTAACACACTCACACACAAAAAAAAAACGAAAGCAGAAAGGGTATTTGAAAATGTTTGAAATGAAAATAAGACTCGTTCATTTATATCGTTTTCATTTGCAGCTATTCCATGAAGGAAAGAATAATTCTAGTATCGAGCAATAAAATTACAATCATTTAAACAGGTAGGATTTTGCCAGAGGATGATTCAAAATGAGCAATTGCTTTGATTTCAGGCCTTGGAAGAACTAGGGCTGATAAAGCAAATTAAACGCTTTGCTGGAACAAGTGTTGGTTCAATGACTGCTTGCATGGTAGCCCTTGGATACAATTCCACGAAAATAAAAGAAGTTTTGGAGAAAGATTTCAGAACGTTCTATGGTATGTATCATCACAAGAAATATGAGATTTGTTCAATAATTAATACCAAAGCTCATAATTTTTTTAAAGCACAAAAATGGTTTCTTTATATACCGGGTACATGTATCTAACCCTTCATAATACCTTAGGATATATTCTTGAGAAGTGAAATAGATGAGGCATATTTAAAAAAAGACTACTCAGAAATACGGACCAGACCTCCTTTTTATCTAAATATCGTATAATTTAATCTTGAACAATGAAATAAGTGGAGATAACGAACAGTATTCGAGCTCAGAAGTCCATTAAATATTACAAAAAAGGAGCGGAGCAAACACGGACCTTCACATTAGAGATGGGATCAGGTGCAATGGAGGACTAAGCATCCCCTGCCGAACTGCCACACCCGCCCTGTGTTCCTTGTCATGATCAGGAAATAATGGAAAAAATTTAGGGACAACTCAGTGTACATAATGGTCTAACAATCAATATGAAATTATTATTCTGTTAATAAAATAGCTTGTTTCGTATGATTATATTGGATAAGGTAAACATGTACATTTGTAAACTGAAATTCGAGCTCTTTATTATATTAAGAAATATGCTAAAACAACATTACCTGATGATTTTTTTAAAGATTAGAAATACTTGCATTTCTATCATTGTCACAACCTTTCACTAAAATAAGATATTAAATTTGTTTACATTAGACTAACCTTAGTAATAACATGAATAACTATAACTATATCTTTTTTATTTTTAGATGCAAGATTAGGACGATTAAGTCTTATACCAAATATGTTGTTCCATCTGGGATGGCAGCCAATGAACACATTATATGAATTTTTTGGAGATCTTGTTGCGGAAAAGCTTGGGAATAAAGATGCTACCTTTAAAGATGTCAGTTCTCAATATATTAATGGAAACACCTGATGTGATCTGATAGTGCATGCATCTTACTTTTGTTCTTTTAAAATTAATATCATTTACTCTTTGTAAGACATGAATTGATATTTGGCCTAGAACCATATGCAGAGCTTTTTTGGGGATTATTTTTACGATCTTTTGGAATCCAGATCATGTTTTGTAATTCAAATTCAATTTAAAAGTGGCAAATTATTTATAAGATAATTTTCCTTTGAAGAGAAAAAAATCAGCTTAGATTTCCACTTGTACATTATTTTGCTTTGATTAATGTATTTTGTTAAACTAGTGGTAAAGTATAGTTTTTGATTTACTCATTTTATAAAGAATTTTCTACAGTTGTACACAAAAACTGGGAAGGAGCTTTGTATCGTGGTAATGAATGTAAACAATATGGAGGAAGAGTACTTCCACCTTAAAACAACTCCCAATGTTCCTCTCAGAATGGCTATGCGCATGTCAGCCAGCTTGCCAGGTCAGAAACACTTCGTTTCCATAAAGACCTAGGGTTCAGAATTTTAACTTTCATAGGCGAACAATTTGTAGTCACAAAATTTAGCTTTAACTAATTATATTATTAAATATGGCTGATATAATCTTTGTATGTGGATCTATTGTAGGATTGATGCAACCCGTTCAATATGTAATATCCGGCCAAAAAAATCTCTATATAGACGGAGGAGTTCTGGTTAACTATCCCATTTCGTGTTTTGATGGTATGAGTGAATTTCATTTTACAAATAACTTCAAATTAAAGCATATGATATTGAGATTTCAGCTCATTTGAAATGAAACTAAAAAATGAGTAACATCTCCTTGCAAATAAATTGCTAGAATGTATTTTTCAAAATATTATTAATTTATAGTTAACTTTAATATTTGTACAATAATAATGTTGGTGTGTAATTAAAAAGATATTACGGCATTTCTAACATGAAACAGAGAGAGAGAGAGAATTTTTGTTTTGATCTTTAATTTATGATATATTATATATTCTATACAAGGGTGGTGGTTATCAATGAAGAAAGAAGATACATTTTTCAAAAGGTTACAACCTATGGAGAAAGTTCATTATATTATGGATAAAAGACAGAGGTTTGCTCGGGATGAATTGACAGCCTCAAAAACTTTGGGTTTTGTATTGGTGAGATTTTATATCACACAGCTTTTCTGTCACAGAGGTTCTTAGGAAGATCTTTAAAGATTTATTTTTTCTATTTATTTCAATGTAAAACTTGGATTCCCTATTGTGACCCTGCTCCACCCCTGGGGTCATAATTTGAACAATCCAGAATCTACACGACATCAGAATGTTTCCATATAAGTTCATCTTTTCTGGTCCAGTGGTTCTTGAGAAGATTTTTCAAGTTTTTTTTTTTATTAGTATATATTTCAATGTAAAACTTGGATCCGCTATTGTGGCCCCGCTCTACCCCTGGTGTCATAATTTGAACAATTTAGAATCTACTAGTATACAAGGTTAACCCTAGGATGCTTGCACACAAGTTTCAGCTTCTTTGACCCGGTTTTTCTTGAGGAGAAGATATTTAAAGTTTTTTCTATATATTTCAATGTAAAAGTTGAATTCCCTATTTTGGCCCCGCCCTATCCCCAGGGGTCATAATTTAAATTATTTAGAATTTACTCAACCCCAGGATGCTTTCACGTAAGTTTCAGCTTTTCAGGCCCAGTGGTTCTTGAGAAAAAAAAATTTTAATGACCCCACCTATTTTTGTCTTTTCTTGATTATCACATCTTGGAACGAGACTTGGGCCGATAAGCATTTCTACAACTTAAACTTCTCTTTACCCAAGGATGCTTTGTATTTAGTTTGATAAAAATTAGCAAAGTGGTTCTTTAGAAGAAATTGAAAATGTGAAAAGTTTACAGACAACGGGTCATCAGGAAAGCTCACTTGAGGTTTTAGCTCAAATGAGCTAAAATATACATCAAAAAAATAAGATATATACATGTATAAAATTCATGATATACATGTACAAGATCCAATGACTCAAGAAAAAAAACGAAAAATAGAGCATGAAAGTATTTCTTATTCTATAAAGATTTTATAATCCACTTTCAGTATTTTTTAAAAATTAAAATAAGATTTTAATTACGACTTTCAGTATAGTGATAATGAACAGCAGAGCTTCAGAGACGTGTACGAGAGTAGAGAAAACAGACGAGTAGTGTACCCCGATACAAAAATGGGCAGGTATATATCTAGCTGCAATAATGTAGCCCTCTCCCTTTTATTTTTTTATTTTATTTTTTTTTTTTTTGGGAGAGGGCTACAACTCCTTAGGATCTTCCTGATGGTGCAGCTGCGGGTGTGATTCGCTCCCGCACGGATTTCGGCTCAAATTATCAGTAAATGGCTATTTAATTAACATTTCTTACCTTGACTCCAAATAAGTAGTCATCCAAGACGTAAATCAATGCAAAAATATACAGAACGATCCCTATATCGCTTATTTTTCGTGTATGTCAACATCACAACTCGAATTTATCCGCCATGTTTACTGACCTTGATAGATTGTATTTTGGGACAGCCAATGAGAATTTAGGTTCTATAGGAGCGGATCTTTTTGGAATTCCCTTATTTTAAGCATAAATATCGCTGCTTGCATAAAAATAACACTTAAAATGGTTTTATATACCTATGTTTTTGTGATGAAATTCAGCACAATCATTTATAAACACCGATAATTGCTTTATTCAGTTGTTCTAAATTTCAAGCGAAAGTCTCATTACGTCACGCGTGAACTGTCATGGCTGCTGAAGTAAACTACCAGGAAACTTGCAGAGTTATTTTACAAGTTTTTCGCATTTAACGGGATATGTTGTTGACAGTGAATAAAAATTTCGTCTTATTAGAAGTAAGTTGAATGTAAAAATAATTTATTTTGCCTGCAGTCGCTCATATTAAAAAAAAATATTTGCACCATTACGGAGATGCGATGGAATTGTAGCCCTCTCCAGAAAACATCAGATAAAAAAAAAATCGGAGAGGGCTACATTATTGCAGCTAGTATATATCATTTTTATCTCAGAGTTTACTAATGTAAAATTTCAATAGTCTTTACTTTCAAAATGTGGACTCAATTGTCTGAATTTTTTGTTAACAGACAAGCTGCACAAAGAATGAAAAAAGAAATGAAGCTGAGAAAAGAACACGTGCTTGTAAAAGACGCCATTAATAAATTTTTAGAGGTGAAAGTATATTTTCTTAATTTTTTAAATCCATCAATCTGCATGATTTTTTAAGGCGTTATCTTTCATTTATTTAATTTTTGGCTTTGTGGAAAGAAATTTTAAAATATAAAAGAAATAATTCGTAATCTTTACAGAGAATATAATGGTAAATAACTATATACTACTATTTCTTAAGCTTTCATCGAAATTTGACGAGAACAGCGATGAGACTATAAGTAAGGATGAGCTGGCAGCTATCTTAAATGACGTAAGCAATTTAAAGCCTCTCCATAATCTCTTTCTAATCTCCCAAAATATTACCCGGTTACTGTATATAAAAAACACAGAGATACTAATGTATGAAAACTTTGTTACAGTTAAAAAAATCTGTAACAGTAGTTTATCATAACATTTTTTTATGAGTTGGACTGAAAAACATTGTGTAAGATATACGAGTTTCTCAATTTCTCACTTGCAAATGTCTGATAGTTAAAGAAAATAATCCTCCACTTTTTTTTAGATCTAGAGACTAAATACCTCTCAATTTCTGTATCAATATTGTAGATATTAGATTTAATAAATGAATGAGCTGGTTTTAGGAGAACTAGAAGTATTTAAGTATGAAATATATGGAGATCACGAACAGTATTCAAACTCCAAAGTCCATTAAACAATACAAAACAGGAGCAGAACATACAAACACGCACCTCCAAAACATCGGAGGTGGGATCAAGTGCCATGTAGCAGTGAACATTCCCTGCCGACTAGTACTGGTCACACTATGAACTATGGTAACTATGATTAACTATAGTAAATTTTTGCTGGAGTGTCTTTACAGATTTTGTTAGAAATATAATAAAGTGAATATTTCTTTTCATGTCACTCATTCTTTACTTACAAAAGGATTAAAATAAGGTACACTTTATGAGATTATTACTGAAGCTACATGTTTGTGTTTCATAGAAAAGTTTCACTGAAAGTGAAAAAGAACACCTTTTTGGAAAAGGTGTCACTGTGGAGGATGTTCTTAATCGCTTGGATAAAGATGGAAATGGCAAGGTATGCCTTTGGTCCATTTTTGGCAAAATCATTATTTTTCAAGGCGATGTCCACACATATCATCCTCAACTTTTAATGCATTTTAGTTGAATTTTCGTGAAGTCGTCATGTTCATTGAGGAAAATGGATTTTCAATAGTAAATTGCAGCCACGGGTTTAAAAGAGAGGAAGTGACGACATTGCTGACTCTTGTTCAGGCAATTTATACAGGACTATCTTGTAACGTCACGCAAGTGGGAATCAGTGTAAGTATTTTTTGAGTGCTTACAGAATTCTGCAAAGAAATATCTATATGGTAAGACTGCAACTCTCAATCATTTACACAGTTTGGGCTTATTTAAAATTGATTTTACAAAAAATTACTGTTGTCAAAACCTTTATGATATTTTTAATATTTACTATCTTGGCTAACGATTTTGTATTCCGTCAGTCAGCAGATGTGTCTAGAACAGTTGGCATCAATACTCATTATGTAGGGACAACGGTCTTTGACTACGAAAAGGAAGATGTGGACTTTCTTAACAAGGTAAAGGCGTCCTAATCCTTTCTGAATCATTAAAATCGAGACATGATAAGCTAAAAGCACCAGACTCGTATGTAAAATTTTTTTTAGGAATCCTATAGATCTACCATGACATTCTTGAAACATTTTGCTGAAACAAAGATGAAGTCTCGGAGGGAAAAAGAAGAACAGTAAAATGCATTTACCTGTGTATTACATTGTCTTTTAAAAATAAAATATTTTGGAAGCGGACTTAATTCTTTTTAAATTAATTTTTTTTAACATGTTCAACAACATTTATAAAATTGTAATTGATTTAAGAAGTTTGACATTATTTCTGCTCTGTCTGTCCTCCATAATTAAAATGTGACCATCCCATTCTTTTCTTTTCTCGTTGTATGTTTATTGTTTTACCTTGTACATATGTATAAGACTTTCATTTATGCTCTTGTAAATGTATCATATATTTATTTTTTTTCATCGTATTTATATACTATACCTCATGTAGCTATTATTGAAATAAATGAACTTGAACTTGCAAATACATGTTCAAAACTTTTCATTGCACTTTAAAGTACTAATATGTACAGTATTTATTATCATAATAGCCCAATGTGTGTTTCATATGAAACAAAATTGATTCTGGAGAGGAGTTTTCCAGTAATGAAAGTTGAAAGAAAGAAATTAAAAATACTTATCATGTACAATATACTATGCCTTTTAAGTGGCGAATATTTACAAATACAAACGAAGATACACTATTATCATAGATCATACACCGGTGAAGGGTTTGAAATTTTGAAGGCCAGGGTTTGAACCGAACACCTTCCAATCATGGAACAAGCGCACTACCGAAATTTCTTTTTCTATACTTTAATTTGAAATGATTGGTTCATGACAAGGAGCACACAGCGGGGGGGACCGGTCAGAAGTGGATGTTCACTCCTACATGGTACCTGATCCCACCTCTGATGTTTTGGATGTTTGCTCTGCTTCAATTTTGTATTGTTTAATGGACTTTTGAGCTTGAATATTATTCGTTATCTCCATATATTTCATGGCATAAAAATGATTTTCCCCTCCAATTACTGTAAACCAACTTTCATTCGCGACGGCTTTATTTTGCGGTTTACTGGGGGATAAACTACTTCGCGACGATTAGTTTTCGCGATCAAGCCTTTATTGAATCTGTTGTTGATAGAAAGAGTGACGTTAAGGACCGGTTTGCGACGAGAAATATTCGCGATGATGAGGCTCTCACGGACCTCGTGAAAATTTCTCGCACGCGAATAAAAGTTGGTTTAGGGTAAGTCAATGTTTGCCTATGATATTGATTAAAATCTTGACCTAAAAGTGATTTTTCGTTTGACTTCCTCTTGAACACTTTTCTATCTTCGTTAAAAAAAAAAAGATATAATATTTCCTGAAAAGAAAATTGAATTTATTCTTTATATATTAAACTAAAAAAGAATTAAGTTTGAAATCAATTGTTTATCAAAGAACAACACTTTCCATTTTTATTATGTTTTTTCTTTAGTTTTCATGAGTCACTTTCAATGCCAATGTCTTTGTCAAATACCTGTTGATAGCTAATATGAAAATAAAAAAGAATGGAAAATTGTCACTGAATCGATACTTCATCAAATTATATAATATGGTTTGGATCCAATACCTTAGATAAATGTAGTTCCAAACGTTTAATATTTTTTTTTTTGAAAACCCGCAACCGCAACAGATTTATAATCATTTCTACATGTTACATACACTTACAGTTGTGCAAAGTCGTCTTAAAATGTACATGAATGAAATTTTTAGAAAGGTTTACAGTTATCATGACCTTATATTAACGTATATTCTTATCATAAACTGACCTTTAAATTGGTGATAAACAAAGGAGACTATGACCGGAATAAGTGGAATAATATTTCTAATAATAACCATTCTGGGTATTATCCAGCAGTGTTACACGCATACATTGCCTCGCCGATCACAGGGTTTGTACCATCATCATTGATAGTAGTCACTGTCGAGTAGAATTTCATCTTTCATCTGATTTATATCTTGATGTCTTAATGACACAGGTCAATTTTAGGAAGAATCTCCAGCAACACAAAAAGTTAATATTTGTTTAACCTCTAGTAAAAATTTTTTACCCTTGAATTTTCTCATCCGGCCAGTCAGATATATGCTGAAATTTTCTAGAAAAAAAACCCCAGCATTCTGCCTACCGACCATTTTTTACTCCGAATCTGGAGAATGCACACAAACGCCATTTTAAACATGGCCTCATCATCTTGAAATTGAACGTATATATGTTATTTTATGAAAATAATATACACATAATATAATTTTATGAAAAAATTATTAACAACTCTGAAAAAAATGTCATTTTAACCCTCAACGAATCAAATTGTCGACCCTAAAATCAAAAAGATTTTCAGCATGTCAAGCAGCGCCAGCAGACATTCTGTTTCTACTGGATTCCTCCGGAAGTGAGGGATCTTATAACTTCGAACTTCAGAAGAATTTTGTGTCCAAGTTTGTCACATTTTTGAATATCGGACCATATGACGCTCAGGTTTCTGTGGGAACATTCTCCACAATCGCTAGGAGCTTCATTCGACTCAACTCCTATCACGACCAATACAGCCTTCTAAATGCCATTGCGGGGGTAAGTAATAGATGCTAGTATATTTTCTTTCCATTTTGAGCTCTTCTTTTTGTAGCCCATCTGTATTTGAAGCAAAGGTGTAATTTTTGCTATAGATCGAAAAATGTTACATCCGAAAAAAAATTGCTAAAAATAAAACACAATTATGTTTTTTGCTGAAATGAATAGAAATATCTAACAGTATATAAGCTCAAATAATTAAAAAAGAAGACCAGATTAAATACCTACCTCTACAATACATCAGGGGTGGGATCAGGTGCCATGGAGGAGTGAACATCCTCTGCCGATCGGTTAAACCCACCGTGTGCCCTTTATCATGATCGGGAAAAGGAGAATCCGTCGACAATTCATTGTGTAAATAATGGCCTTAAAATTAGTATGGAAAACGTTCATCACAATTTGACTGAATGATAGTTTTTATTATTTGCTGTCAATTGCAAGATGATTTTATCGACCATGGAATTTGTAAAATGATGGTTTTAAACGAGATCGTTGATGTTCTTGTTTCATTAGCTTGTTTGTCAATAACTTTCCTCATTTTGAATTTTTTCAAGCATAGGGCATGCTCTTGTGTATCAAAATAAACTGAGAAATTCAAGACCAATATGCAGATGGAAATAGTTCATTGCTACATCGGTAAGGAAAGTTGATGATTGAAAAGTTATCTATCATGTCTACCTTCCTCTTTGATACACAACATTATTTTGCAAGTACGATCAATTAAATTCTAAACTGATGCAGGCTACTGACAAATGAGTTGATTTCATATGACTTTTAACAATATAGTTTGCAACTGAGTAAGGTAATTGCTTTTATACCTCTCGCTTACCTGGTCAATACAAGAAGTTTACAGTAAGATACCTGGTCGATAGGGAATCTGTATTCCTCCTTGGTAAATTATGCCATATGGTGCTGATACCAGCGGTTCAATATCCGTGAAACTCTTATTTACGTTTTATTTTCTGACAGATACCATATACAGCCGGTGGAACAAACACCCATTTTGCTTTGGATATGGCTGAGCATTACACATTCACGTCAGAAAATGGCGACCGCCCTCAAGCTCCAAACATTGTCTATATTCTGACAGACGGACAATCCAATAATATTTATCTGACACACCAGGCAGCACAGCATCTCAAAGGCACCGGGGCTAAGGTGTTTGCCATTGGAATCGGACATGTATCTACGAGTGAATTGACTGACATTGCAACGGATCATGAGCACGTGTTTACTGTTGACAGTTTTTCTGACCTCCCATCAATACAGCACCTAGTGCAGGCAACGTATTGTGATGGTAACTTATTTTACGTGTTTTTCAGAACAAGAATTAAGAAAATTGAAATCATGAATCAAATCATTTTTAAAGATATACTAAGAATCTGATGTATTAGCAGTTTCAAAGTTAAATATATGCCTGAACTGGATTTATATCATAATTTTACTCTCAATGCTAATTTCAGATGAGAAGCGATGATCTTCCTCTTACACATATATACTAAGTAGAATACCTGTCATTTTACCTTTAAACAAATACTCTTGTATCCGCCATTTGATTTTTCCTCTTGCAATATTTTCTACTCAATTATTTTACGTGTCAAGAAAAAAACGTGTGGTTGCCAATTTATTGTGTAGATTTCTGCTGTTTTATTTTTTGGTTTTCTTACATTTCAGTTATTAATGGAACATTGTGCATCGACAAGATTTCGAGTTGTTATAAGTTTTCAAAGAGCACATGCTTGGATCCTTCTTACGTAGCGTTTATGCAAATGAACTGTCCTGACTATTGCGGATTTTGTCAGTGTGGGTGTTGTAGCAATATCTATTAATGAATAAATGATTTTAAACATATGAAATTAAATAAACTTATTCATTATGTTTGTAGATATTTTTTCTTTTTATTTTGAGTTCACACACCAGTTCCACCAACAAAACAAATGACAACCATTCAAACAACTAAATCAATTTCATTTTTACCAATGACAACAACCACTCTACCTTTAAATACAAATAAACCGACAACGTCGACGATAAAAACATCAACATTAAAGGGTAAGACAAAATGTTGTAATGATTGATATGTGTTCAAATAATTTTTATTGATATTAAAGCATTTTATAATTTCCTCATCTTCATTTTTAACTTTAGGACCTGTCCCACAACACATCTCAGAAGGTGAATCATGATATCTAGTTATCACGTAGAAATAAGATAGATCAAAGGAGATTTTACTGAAATAAAGAATATGGACACATCTTATCTGACTTTGCAAGAATATGGGCGCTCATGAAAGACAAAAAAAAATGAATTTTTAAAAGTTAATTTTAATAACATTCAAATGATATGCCAAGGTCATATTTCAAATGATAATGTTTTGATTAGCTGAATAAAATTGTCTTGAAATATGTCTAAATGAGTGTTTTAGTACAAAATGTTATTAACATTCATTCAGAATTAGAAAGATGAAATCATGAATATATATATATATATATATATATATATATATATATATATATATATATATATATATATATATATATATATATATGTTATATTTTAAACCACAGAGAACAAGAACTTTTTAAAATGTGTTTTTTCCCTGATATCAGGACCATGCGTCGACAAGATTTCAAACTGTGCTGCCTATGGAGACACAGTCTGCACTAATTACAGACTTTGGGCAATAGAAAACTGTGCTAGATTCTGTATATTTTGTCATGGTTTGTACCCGATTAGTCTAATTATTTCTTTACGAAAGATTTCATATTTTTAACCATGCGAACTCTTCGGAGGATTTTTTTAAATCAAACCTAAGAAAGAGTTTCATCTTTTGTCTTTATAAGGAAAAGTTTTCTTTCAAATATTCTTTTTCATTTGAAGACAAAATTACGACACCAACAATACAAACATCAATCAAGACCACGATAGCACCTTCAACTACACAGAGTAAGTACTCAGACATTTAACATATAATATTGTCGAACTGTTCACAGAAGTTTGACATTCAGGATGCGGAAACGTGATGCAAGACGAATGGCAGCGATTGAAATCTTTACAGTTCCATTTCTACTTGTTTTCTCTGTGATAACATCCTTGAAAGTTAGGTGGGTTGATTTCTTGATAATTCGACAGCAATGTATATTTCTCAGGGAATTTCCATATCTGTTACTACTGAATGAATTCATCTGCGGATCGTTTAAACGTTACAAATCCATAACTATTTACACTAGTCTTATTAATAAACATTTGACTTTGATTTTGGGGGAAATTTTGCTTTTTAAATGCAAGGTAATTTTTCAGGAGTTTATGATGTCTGTGAGGACAAAATTGCCAGATGCAGTACATATGGAACAGATATCTGTGCCAAATACGCATCCTGGGCAGCAATTCAATGTCCAAAGTTCTGTCGGTTTTGCAACTGTACGTACATGTACATTTTATTCCAAAATGCTATTTAGAGGTTAAAGAAATCAATGCGGCGAAACGTGTCCTTTTTCACGGAGGAAATCATTGTATTTTTCGCAATGAATCCTTTTTTCTTCCTTTTAGCTTCAACCAACTCAACTATGAGCAACACAATACCACCAACATCTGACACGTCTACTTCAACGACAATCTCACTACAATCTTCTAGAACAGATTTTACGAATTTCACAATCTCAAATAAAACAATATCCACGACAGCCACAAAACAAACCACCTCTACCTTGTCGCAATCAACCTCAGCCTCAACTCAGTACACCACAGACGTACCACCATCAACAACCTCGATACCACCATCGTCACCACTGGACACAAAAACCTCCCTTCTATCAACGACTAATCCCTGCCGAAACGTCAGAAACGACTGTGCTGATCTTGGTCTTATAGTTTGTTTTACAGACCAAACTTACGCCGAGGAAAATTGTGCACTGTTTTGTAATTTTTGTAATCGTAGGTATATTTCAAAAGATTTTTAAAATATATATTAGAGATGTAATATTGAATGCTGCAGACAGAATTATATCTAGTCTTGCTAAGGAACCTATTGTACCTATTGTCAAGTTATTGGTGGTATTCCTTAGTAATCATAGTACAGTAACTGAGTGTTTTATTTTAATGTTTTAATGCTCTTTTGTGCTGTTTGCATTCAAAAAAGTTATTTTTTACTTACTGATTTAAATGCTTCCTAACAAAGATACAAATTATATCCATGTTCTTCTACACCTGTAGCAATAACGGAACCTGTGACAAGTACTCCAACAATTACACGGGACTCCAGTGAACAAAGTCCCCAGACAACATCAAATCTGATTGGTGTTACCAGTTCAGTATATTCCTCAACAATGAGTGAGTAATGGGATTTATTATACACCTTGCTTCTTTGTCATTTCAAGTGATTTATTTTTTTTATTCAGATCGACCTGTTTTAAAACAATTTTTTGCCCTTCACAACTAGGTGTCATTTGCTGTTCATTTATTGTATTTGGTGTTTTAAAAAGTTTCATTTGTCAATACGTGTTTGAAAAAAAGAATGCTCAAGATATATATCTCAGAATCTTTTTTTGTTTTTCAGCTACCAATCCAAAAATTATCATTATTGGTTGATAACACAATTGTACAAAAGGGGTAAAGCAGTTGTCAAGTTTTGTAAGAATCTAATAAATTACACAAGAGCAGTTTTATTTACTTTTTCATCAGAATGTTACGTTTAAAATATTCTTCATTTAAAAATTTGTTTAATTATATTTTTGCGGTAAGCCTTTGATGAAAACTACTAAACTTATTGAATGACAAAAAAAAATGTCAAATGCATGTTTTGCTTCTTTAAACTTAATATTTTTAAAAGATATTTTCATTGTTTTAAAGATTGGAACTAATTTTCGCAACAAATAATTCTACCATGTTGTTGAACTCCACAAGCAGATTGACAAATCATTTGATTGGATCAGGAAGAAAACTGATGCCTACATTCCTATCTCTGAAAAGTTAAATTTAAAAGAAGCGTAGCAAGCATTTGGGTTCAACAATGTGGTGGGGGTGTTTCTCGCAAAATTTAATTTAGGCCTTTGTAAAGATAATTTGACACACCTATAATTCATTTAAATATCTTTACTTAATTCCAGACGATTTTTTAAAAAAAAGGAATTTGAATCAATTTAAGATAGGAATTAATATCAAAGTCAACCTGTGTGTGTTAGTACTTTTTTAAACAGAGCAACAGTCCATGTATAAGTGAAGATCACATAAATCATTGATGGGTTGAATGGGTTGAACATATCACTGATTTAAAAGTTTCTCTCTCTCTCTCTCTCTCTCTCTCTCTCTCTCTCTCTCTCTCTCTCTCTCTAGATACTTTGCATCCATAAATTTAATAAATAATATGAATTGATAAAATTTATCACTGAAGTCAATGCTGACTGACGTTTTTCATACTAGCTGTCAGTCCATTATTTATACACTTAATTGACGATGGATTTTTCTGTTATTTCTCGATCAAGACAAGGAGCACATTGCGGGTTTGACCTGTCGCCAGGGGATGCTCACTCCTCCTGATCCCACTTCTGATGTTTTGGAGGTTCGTGTTTGCTCTGCTCGTATTTTCTATTGATTTTTGGACTTTTGATCTTGAACATTGTTTGTTATCTCCATATGTTTCAATTGAATACATGTGAATACGTGGTGATGTAACTTATCGGTAGGGGATGCCCTTTTCACCATGGCACCTGATCCCACCTCTGATGCCTTTTTGCTCTGCTCTCGATTTGTTTTGTTGAACTGAACTTTGATCGTGAATTCTGTTCGTTATCTTCACATTTCATTAATTCAATTGAATAGAGAAATAATTGAATTGTTGTGTGCAATAACTAATTTTTTAAAAAACAGTTATTCACTTCAAAATAACAGTTCTACAATGTCTGTGCAAATTAATCAAATCTCTTCAGTAATGAAAGAAACAGTTGTGATTTATTTTAATAATCACATATATCTTATTAATTAAAAGAAAGAAAATTCATTAATATCAAAAATCAATTTATTAAATCTTAAAATTAATTTAAGCAAAGGAATTAATGCATGCAAAGTTTAGTACATTATGTTGTAAATTATGCATATCTTTTACAAGTATAAAAAATTCATTAATTGAATTGAATTGGTGCAAGAATTAAATTATTAATGGATTTTTCAAAGTGTATTGACGAATTCCAGTTTAGCTCTACTGGTCAGAGACCAGAAGAGCTTATGCGATAGTAATGCGTCCGTCGTCCGTCCGTCTGTCTGTCCGTCTGTAAACAATTTTTCAAAATGCTACTCCTCCTACAGTTTTGGTCTGATTTTAATATAACTTGGCACACAAGTAGACTACACTAAGATACATATTTCTGTATATCGGTTTTTGATTTCGATGAACGGTGTTGCCGTTATTACTAAAAATAGAATTTTTTGTGAAAATCATTCAAAATGCTATTCCTCCTACAGTTTTGGTCAGATTTCACTATAACTTGGCACACAAGTAGATTACACAAAGATACATAATTCTATGTATCAGTTTTTTGATTTCGATGAACGATGTTGCCGTTGTTACTAAAAATAGAAAAATTTGTGAAAATCATTCAAAATGCTACTCCTCCTACAGTTTAAATCTGATTTCAATATAACGTGGCACACAAGTAGACTACATAAAGATACATAATTCTTTGTAGCGGTTTTTGAGTTCGATGAACGATGTTGCCATTGTCACTAAAAATAGAATTTTAAAAAAATACTTTCAAAATGCTACTCTTCCTACAGTTTTGGTCTGATTTTATTATAACTTGGCACACAAGTAGACTACACTAAGATACATAATTCTGTGTATTGGTTTTTGATTTCAAAGAACGGTGTTGCCGTTGTTACTAAAAATAGAAATTTCTGTGAAAAACATTTAAAATGCTACTCCTCCTACAGTTTTGGTCTGATTTCAATATAACTTGGCACACAAGTAGACTACACTAAGATACATAATTCTGTATATAGGTTTTTGTTTCAATAAACGGTGTTGCTGTTGTTACTTAAAAAAGAAATTTCTTTGAAATACTTTTAAAATGCTACTCCTCCTACAGTTTTGGTCTGACTTCAATATAACTTGGCACACAAGTAGACTACACTAAGATACATAATTCTGTGTATCTGTTTTTGTCATTATTCTATTCATTGCTTTTGTAAAGTTTTATATCCCAACTGCTACTTTTCTCTTTCTTTATTATAAGTACAAACCAGTAGAGCTTCAGTCTCAACAGAGACTTCTGGTTTAATATCATGATAATTTGGCATTTCATATATTACATATGTATATAAAAAAATATTTGAAATAAATGGAGATATCGAACAATATTCAATCTCAAAAGTCAATTTAACAAATCAAATTTAGAGCAGAGCAAACACAGACATCCAAAACATTCAATTTGGGATCAGGTGCCATGGAGGAGTGGGAATCCCCTGTCGATCGGTCATATAAATGACGGAAAAATCCGTCGACAATATGGTCTAACAGTCAATATGAAAAACCTTGTATGTGCTGACAAGGTCATCGTATCGACCATGGAACTTACGAAATGATAACTTTGAACGAAACTGCTGATATTCCTTTTTATCGACTTGCCTGTCAATAACCTTCACCGTTTTAGAAATTGTTTTAAAATACGTAGAGCATGCTCTTGCGTATCTAATCAACTGAGAGATATAAACCCCATATGCAGGTGACGAAGGTATATTGCTGCATAAGCAAGAGAAGTTGATGATTGAAAAGTTAAAACATCACGTTCATGAACGAATAAAAAATGCTCTGTCAAATTGTTGTCGAATTGCAAATTAATTTTAACTCGAATTCACTAGGGTATCAAGTTATGCTACCGTATAGCGTGTTTCTCTACTAGATTACTGTTTCTTTGGCGGGTGTAGAATTTGGCGTTTTGTTTGCTCAAACTTGCCAATAATTTTGACAGAACTTTTTTGGCGGATACAGATTTCTGTAAAATTGCAAAAGAAAGGAAATTCATCTCTTTAGCATAAGTTTCAGTATGTTTAATATATGCTGGAATACCGATTTACACAAAAGTTTGATTAAATAGAATACCAAATGCTTATACATCAGGCTTTCGTAATTTTTCTTTTTACTAGTGATAATAATGAGAGTGCAAATTTTGCAATTAAAATTTTAGCGACTTACTACAAGACTGCTTAAATGAGCCAAAGCTAGCATCCCGCTAAAAATACCTGATTAACGGTTATTTTACACATCAAAACATGCTGTTGTTATCCGAAAAGGAAATGATATAATACTCCACAGAAATAGAGCATTTTCAGAGCTGATAGGAAAGGGGCAGTATCATAAATTGGGACTCAGTGCTATTGTGTGTGAATATAAATTGCGATAAGCTGCCACACTTAACCTCTCTCATGGAATATACAACAAAAAATAGTTTTGTTAATATTCTTCTCCAAACCTCCCTTGTATTTGCACTCCACGATTCTTCATATGCAGATCTTGCTGGTAAGATAAAATATATTATAATGTTGGATCTTGCCATCGATTGAAATATCGAATTAAAAACTGGGTTTGTATCTCTCAGTTGATTCGATACGCAAGAGCCTCTCTAAGTATGAACAATTTTTAAAACGAGGCACATGTAAGTTATACTAGTGATTGAAAAACAAGTTGCTTAAACAAGAATATAAGCAGTCTCGTTTAACGTTAGCATTTCGTTAGTTCAGTGATCGATACAATAGGCTTGGCAGCAAATACAATTTATTTCCACGTAAAATACTGATTTCTTTCATACTGATTTTAGACCATTATATACTCACTGAATTGTCCACTGATTTTTCCGTTATTTCCCGATCATGACAAGGGATATGGCGGGAGTAACTGCGTGGCAGGGGATGTTCACTCCTCGATGGCACCTGATCCCAACTCTGATGTTTTGGAGGCCCTTGTTTGCTCTGCTCCTATTTTTGTAAAGTTTATTCTAAATGCTACTTTTTCTTCCAGCCTGTGCTAAAACACCGGCTGATATTTTATTCGTGCTTGACGCTTCTACTAGCATTGGAATCAAAGACTTTGAAAAAGAGAGGAATTTTGTGGCAGGCTTCGTGAATGATCTAGACATTGGACCAAATGATGTACAAGTTTCCGTTGGGACATTTTCTGATAATGCACGTGGTTACTTTTATTTACATACTCATCAAAACAAGACAGAGCTTTTGAGTGCAATTCAAAAAGTAAGTAACTTAGTGTATTGATAATAAATATTCTCTGTAGCTAAAAAGCATTTTCAGTTTAATTTTTTCCATCCTGTCAAAGGGGAAGAAGGACTTTGAGCTGAAAACTTTCTTCATAATTTTTTGATACATGTATTTTTTAAAAGCTTATTTTAGTCATATTGATTAACAAATACTAGGCCATGTAGTGTCTATGGTGATTTTTTTAACGCCTTGTTTTCATGTCTATAATTTCGTCCCTTAGAGAACTTTGTAGCATAGATATAAAATATGCAAGTGGACATCTGGGTTTTTTTTCCAAATATTTCTGACAGAATATGACATGTATGAGTAGAGTTTAAAATTTTAAAATGCAAGTTTCTTTCATCACAATGCACATAGACGGGGGGAAATGCACATATTTCAAGAAAATTTTACCAACAAAAAAATGTTTCGTGAATAATTCAATCATTCTATATTTAAAAAATACATTGAAGGTTAGGCCTTTATGAGTTTTCCAATAGGCAAGAAATTCAAATATTTAACGATGGAAGCAATTTTTGTCAAATTAAGTTTTTCTATGTTGCTCTTTTTTAAGTTACCTTAAAATCTATGCTGTTTCTTCTTTCCGTTGCTGTGTGATGAACGAAACTTTTAAATCTTAGAATCCGAACAATTTGTTCGAAAAACGACGGTCAACATTATCACAATTTAAGATGTTTTTTATTTTTAGGATAAAAAAGACGAACACATAAAAAATCGTCTTTTAAAAGCGCCTAATCGCCCATTATTTTAAAAGACAAAACTGTACATCATTTTCTAGTCTTAATTTGAAAATTATATGACATCATTGCATCATTTTTGATTTTAAAAAATATCGTTGTTTAACTCCGATGCATTAAAAAAGGCAATGTCGAAATGGAAAAAAAACCGCCACAACGAATTTCCTTCAAAATGGAGAAATCGCCAGCACCAGACTCACAGGGGAAAGAATGTAAATAGAGACTTGTTTAGTTGGTTTCAGCGATTTTGGGTGGGTGATGGGTCATTAATGCTCAGCAGATAACAAGGAAATGAGATGGGAGGGCGGACGGAAACGTTCAACGGTGTGTGACAAAAAAGACAGACGATTAGAGCGATATGTAAAATTTTAAGTTTGTCTTCTACTACTGTTCAAACAATTTTGACAGAAGAATTAATTATGAAAAGAGTGAGTATACGATGGGTACCAAGTTTTCATTTAAAAAAGTGAAATTTGTGAACGTGTTCGTGAATCTCAAATATTTTTTTAATGAAACGAAGGGAAGCGTTTAAGTGTATGACGGCGCGTTTCCATCATACGACGTATTAGGTGCGGCGACTATCATAATCGCACTCTGTATATAATCCGATATTTTTTTAAAAGTATAGATCATGCAATTTTCAAATCTGATTTGAAATAAATGTAGCTTTCATTATTAATAATTTTGTTGTTTTACGTAGCAATTTTATCGAAGTTGTGACATTCCTTTTAAGGTCACACGTTAAATAACTTTCCTCACAAAAAATTAGGGTACCTAACCAGGCATCTGGACGAGATGCCACGGAGTCATATTTCTTATATATCCCTTATGGGAAATCTCTTGAATGGCCTATATCACAATTTTGGGTGTACTTATATCTAAAAACATTTTGAAAACAATGTAGAAATCAGAAGAGAATGACAAATATACACTGTAAATATAATACCAAAAGTAACAGGATATATATTTGAGGAACGTGTCGTATGACCTTTTAAATCAACCCTCGTAGTATACTGTATGTCATACAGCAACTTTTTAAATTAGGAAATAAGCCCTTTAAAAGTGCAAAGACACAGATTTGAAATTAATATTTTCTCAAATTTTCTGTATAATATTATGACTTAAATATTGCAATAGCATTTCACAAGAAAATATGATAAAAATCTTATTTCATATTGAAACCTTGAATTTCTGGGTCGAGTTTGATTGACACGTCCTTGCACTTTCAAAAATTATGTTTTTATTCTTAATACCTAAGAAAAGTGGAATATTTGGTATATTAATGAAAAATATTAAAATTATAATCTAAAAAATTCAGAGTAAAATGCGCTCACAGTTTATTGTCAGTCCGTGCTCCGTGGTGTGTGCAGACTTTAACAATTAAACACACCCGGTGAATCGTAAACATTAACAAAAACGGAGCTCGTGCCCTATTTACAAAAACAGTTAATGTTTCACGGGTGTATCAATTTGTTAAAATCCGTACAGATTACTGAGCACGGACTGACGATACTGGTGAGGGGTTTTTACTTTCGAACATTTCTTAACTGAATTTTCTGTATTATAGTTTAAATATTTTTCATTAATATAAAAAGAAATTGCCACTTTTCTTAAGTATTAAGGATAAAATTAAAATTTGTAAAAGTGCAACAATGTGCAAAAAAAAAAAAAAAAAAAAAACGTCTATAATATCGAAGTTTCAATTTCTTCGAGATGGAAAAAAGATATTTATCATATTTTCAGGTGAAATGCTACTGCAATATATAGGTCCTGATATTATACAGAAAATTGGAGAAAATATTAACTTCAAATATGTGTCTAGGCACCTTTCTAATTAAAGTCTAAATTTTATTATACTATGTATCATTTAGTTTATTAGGACAATGAGCACATTTTTCCCATTATCATAGATTCCGTATGTTTTTGGACAAACACACACACATCTTGCTTTCCAACTGGCAGAACAGTACATTTTTACAAACAGAAGCGGAGATAGACCATCAGCTACAAACATCGTTTTCGTTTTAACTGACGGACAATCCCAGAATCATAGTGCTACTTCCTTGGGGGCCCAGAAATTACGAGATGCCGGTGTAAGGATATACGCTATTGGAATAGGAGGAAACGTTCTGAGAAGTGAACTACTGGATATAGCCAGTGATACTGGCCACGTGTTTATGGTGGACAGCTTCGCCAACCTAGCATCTATACATAGCCTTGTGCAGAACACTTACTGTGAAGGTAGGTACAAGAGAGATTAATATACTACTTAAGCTGTCTTTTGATGTCGTATAACAAACTTTCTTAAAAGATTTTTGCATATCGATTACATTGAAATATTACAAATATTTTAATTTTCCCTTTGTATACTGATTGCTTGATATTCATTTCTTTTAATAAAAACACAATTTTAATCTTCAATTCCAACATGAGCCTACTTAATTATCCTTCTTTTTCTTTTCAATAGCATGCTAAATAATCAATCTGTCTCTTTTCAAATATATTCATTGAAAGCTTTCATTTAAATTAATGTTCATGTATACAATATTTTGTCACTTAAGGTTATTTAAGCACTATTGAACCCCCTGTAACATTCAGCCCGTCAACATCTCAGAAATTAACTTCAATGTTGACATCAAAACCAACCTCCCCAACCAACAGCAAATCAACGAGCAAGATGACGACCCAATCTACCATTACAACATCTACAACTGTTACACCCCAATCTAAAGAAACAACAGCGACAACACCCACAACACAGACGACACTTGTGACTTCATCGTCTGCAACAACATCACCAACACCGTCATCAACATTGACAACACAGCCTTCGACAAAACCGACGACGGCCTCATCAACGACATGTATGGTCAAAAATAGCTTTTACTTTCAGATAATTTTATTTAATTAGAATAAAGATATTTTTATCTTTTACATACGAATGTAATTTTGAGGAAAAAATTTACACTTTATTAATTGAAAATGACAATATACAATTACATGCATTGTAATGTAGAATAAAGATCATAATGCTTGAACATTGAAATGGTTGATTATGTATGAATAATGGAATGAAAATTTTTATTATAACAGTGTGATTCAATTCAAGAGAAAAGCTTTAAATATTTTTTTAGTTAACGTCCAAATCATATATGGCACAAACTGCAGAGAGTTCATATGCATGAAACACTGTGTTATGTGACAAGATGTCTGAAAACAAATCAGATCTAGATGTTTGGGTTAATTTGAAAAAAAATGCATATTTAAAATGAGGATCTTTTATTTTTTATCACAGACGCAACACCACCTCCGATTTCCAGTGGTATGTTATTTAACATACATCTGCAATTGTATATAAATTTCTGATACATGTTAACTATCGAAATAAATATGGTCTGTCAATTTCATTATATTTTGTAACCTCAATAGACATTAACACTTTCCCATAGTTTTACAGTGAAACTTGACTATTTGGGTGTTATATTTTACAAAGCTTGTCACACCTTGTAAACTTTAAGTGTTTTTTTTTAAATAATCAAAAATGCTGTTTAATCCAGCCAAGGTTTCAAAATTAAAATTTTTATTGTACATATAATATTTCAGACTTTAAAGAATACTAATACATATATATTACAAATATTAAATGAAATATTCTTCATCATTTAAGGTCCATGTATTGATAGAATCGGAAACTGTGCTGATTATAGTGATGACGTATGTGTGACGTACAGGAAGTGGTCAGTCACGAACTGCGCACGATTCTGTTTATTTTGTCACGGTATGTTTTCTTTCATTGGCACAAAAACTTAATAAAGAGTTACAAAATTGATGAGGATATTGGCAATTGGGATCCTTTCTATTTCAATTTGATCAAAACTTGGAATGTTTAAAGGATCTAATTTGAAGCATGCTCCCGACAATGTTATTTAAGGAATGAAGCTTATTTTAACCTATGTTATACGATGTAAAATAACTGGGGCAGTTTACGCTTTATAACACCGCGGAGCGGTTTAAAAGAACGCGTAAACGTCCCCTTTTTTCCCCTTCCAAAACCCGTTTTTTCCCTTTAAAAATGGCTTCGAATCAAGCATATTTTAAAAGTTAGTGTAATGTCATGCGGAGTTATGACGTAACTCAGTGTGACGTAGGCAGCATATGTTATACGACAAATACTAAATATTTCATCGAATCAAATGACGTGTTACTACTTAAATTAGATTATAAGAACTTGTTGAGTATCAAATCAACGACAGTTTAGTTTTCAGAGCCCAATTTGAATTTTTATCATACACAGTCTGAAAATTATAGCAACCTTTGTTAGCTTTGAAACCACAGAGGATATTAATTTATTGTTTTAATGTGACAATTGTTTACGTTATATTCAAAATTTCAAGTTTTAGCTCACCTGAGCCGAAGACTCAAATGAGCTTTTCTGATCAAAATGTGTCCGTTGTCTGTCGCCGTCGTCGTCGTTAACTTTTCACATTTTCATCTTCTTCTCAAGAACCACTGGGCCAATTTCAACCAAACTTGCCACAAAGTATTTTTAGGTGAAGGGTATTCAAATTTGTTCAAACAAGGAACCAATCCCTCTTCCAAGGGGAGATAATAAAATTAACATAAATTAGTGAAAAATTAATGACATCTTTTAAAAATCTTCTTCTCCAGAACTATTGGGCTAGGAAAGATGAAACTCACGTGGAAGCATCCTAAGGTAGTGTAAATTCGAGTTTGTTCAAATCATAACCCCCAGGGGTAGGGCGGGGCCACAATGGCTGATCAAAGTTTTACAAGTTTTACATAGGAATATATTGGAAAAATCTTTTAAATAATCCTCTCAAGAACCATTGGGCCAGGAAAAATGAAACTCATGTGGAAGAATTCTCAGGTAGTGCAGATTCAAGTTTGTTCAAATCATGACCTTTTGGGGTAGGGCGGAGCCACAATGGCTAATCAATGTTTTACATAGGAATACATGTATATAGGAAGAAGGAGATGGAGATAACGAATAGTATTCAATCTCAAAGTCCATAAAACAATACAAAATAGGAGCAGAGCAAACACGGACCTTCAAAACATCAGAGGTGGGATCAGGTGCCATGGAGGAATGAGCATCCCCTGCTGACCGGTCACACCCACCGTGTGCTCCTTTTCATGATCGGGAAAGAAAGGGAAAATCCGTCGTTAATTCAATATATAAATCATAGACTTACAATTAGTATGAAAAACGTCAGTCAGCATTTGACTTAATTATAAAATGTATTTGCTGACAAGGTCAGACAATATATAGCTGACAATATCAAAGATATTATAAAACATGTGGGAGTTCTGTATGCCTGTCATTGTCATTACCAATACGTTGATATTATACATGTTTCTGATGAATTGTGTTTTATCAGTTTAAAATTAAGAGCTCTTTTTCTTATATAATACGCCTGTTGTCACAGATCGTGTGTATTTTTAGATACGGGAACCACACAAACTACCACCACCACTACACTAAAGACTCCATCCCCAACCACCAGTAAGACATGCCATTTATATCTTTTATTATGATTTACTTTTAACCATTATTAGTAATCTGTCAAATAACATGTAGTGAAACATTTTCTTATGTACATTTCAAATCAGTTCATTGATCATCAATTTAATTTTAAGGAAACTATACAGTATGTGAAGATAAGGTACCAACGTGTATCAATTACGGTCCTGAGATTTGTTTTAAGTATACATCGTGGGCAGCTGTTCAGTGCCCAAAATTCTGTGTCTTTTGTGAGGGTAAGGTTTCTATTTTATTTAATTGAGATATGTAAGCACAAATTTTGCAATTGCATTTCATTATTATTTGTATACATGCTGTGTTTTTACAATTAAAATATATGACAACCATATCTTTTCGTGGTGATGTAATACAATAGCCACTGATACCACTTCCACCACAACCACGACGACGACGACCACCACCACTCCTCAACCTTCCACCACCCCACGTATTTGTGCTGATACCAAAAATAACAACTGCACTTCTGCAGGGCCAATCATCTGCTTTGAAAATCAGGTGTATGCAGAGAACAACTGCCCCGTGTTCTGTAATTTCTGTACACGTACGTTTGAAAATTTCTTGTTGATGTATATTTGTATATATTGAAGGTGTAATTAAATTGTGACTGATTCATAAGCAATAATTTGTTAATGATTTCATTTTGGACATGTTTTCTATGTTATAGCCCCAGTTACATCAGTGGGAATGACTGCCCCTCCATTACTTCTATCCAGTACAATGCCCAAACCAATGAGTGAGTCATTGTTATACTAAGCATCTGTTAAGTATATTTTTGATATTGTTTTAAATATCTTTTAATTTCCCATTTCTATGGGAGCTTTAAAAAGGCGTAAACTTATTAAAACCAAAATCTATGTTTTATTAATTGTAAATGCTGTTGCAATAGTTACAAAGAAAAAATGTCCTTTCATCAATTTTGCCTGGTATGTAGCAGTAAAGGGTTACATTGCTTTAATATAACATTCACCTAATAACACAGAAGCCCAGTGGTAAGGTGTTCCGCCTTGTAATCTAGAATTCTGGGTTCGATTTTCGTTCAGCGCACTGAGTCAAACCTAACACCTTAGCATAGGTAGTGAAGAACCCGACATTAGTTAAATTAAGTACTGAGTAGCTATAGTTGGTGATACCTTAAACCAAAGTTCCACACCACTGTAGACGTTGCTAGGATAAAGAACCATTGGCCACAGAGCTCATTTGAGTTTTTTGAAGCACTTCATATTTTGTGAATTCTTTATATAAATGAAAATTTTCGAATGGGACCTAAACCAACATACAATGGACGAAGATGGCATTAATACAAACTTCTAAGTTGATAGGTTTGCTGGTCTTGGATCAACAATAAGCCAAGAAATAGTCATATTAAGACAAATTAAACCTTAAATACTTTCCAACAGTAACATAAGTAGATCGTTTAAACGTTAACCTTAAAAATAATTCTTAACACAATACTGTAAAATCGCATATTTTCCTGGCCGGGTCAAATTTTCCAGGTTTAAGAAAAAAATATTGGGTTGTGGGGATTTGATTTCGTTGTTGGAGAAGTGCTTTAGTAATACATATGAAATTTTACATTTCGAGGTTGTCATGCATTTGTGGATCTCCACATACCTTGAAAACAACGAAAATGACACCGTACCCCACTCAACCCAAAAATTTAGTGATTTCACAGTATCCTTCTCAAAGAAAACTAAAAGCATAAACAAAGACTCTTTTATGTTTTTTTTTTGTTTTTTTTTTCCCAACGCAATTGATGGATCAATTTTGGTTTTATTATTTACAACTATGTTGTGTTAGCTTTATAGTTTAGTGTCATTTGTGTCTATTTTTATCAATTCTCTCTGTTGTTTCAGCTACAAATCCTGACGTCATTGTGATAGGAAGAAAGCGACGAGACATACTCCATAGGAGAGTGTTTGGATACAGAAAATCAAATAGAAATTGAACACATTTTTCTGCTTTGCATTTTCTGCTTTGCAATCAATTTAAATTTTGGGTATCGAATTAAAAGGAGATTTTGCACTTTCTTGATTTATTTAAAATGACCTTTATCTGACACTACATGTATATATATATATTTTTTAAACGACAATTTTTAACAAGGACATTGATAAATAGTTAAGTAATTGAATTGCTTTTATTCCTGAAAAGTGCTAAAACTAGAGTATTACGTGTCAAGTGTTGTTTGCATCGGGAATTTCATGTATTCGCATTCGAATGATGCATAGTAGTCTACAAGAATATAATCGGTCAGGTTAGTGAATAAATTACATGTAATGTTATGCTTCCTGTGCTCTGCAGCGCAAGATCACACCTTCTCAGGCCTTTTCGACAAACGGATGTTTTTCCGAAATCTGACGGAAAGGCCAAAGTTGATGCGATTGCTCTGCAGCACTTAACGGGGTGCGCCAGGGAACCAGGCTATTTTAAAACCTTGATTTCACAGGTACTTGTGGACAAGACACCCCTATCCCCCTATATTGAACCCAAGGGCTTGCTGGAGTTTTTTTTCACAAATTATATTTATTACACTTATTCATCATGAGTACAATAGGAAAAATATTCATAAAAATCCCAAAAATACGAGTAATCGCTCCACAAAAAAACACCCCACTATAATTTTCCGTTTGTACATATAATGGATAAGTGTAATAAATATAATTTGTGGGGGAAAAAAATGTCCAACAAACCCCGGGATTGAATATCGGAAGGGAGGAGGGGGTGTTTTGTCCACAAGTACCTGTGCTTGATTCCTACAAAACTGTACCCGGTTTTAGAATTTATTTTTTCTACCCCTTTAATTGATGGTGCGAACGTTTGGGAGAGTACATGCAGTTTTAACATAGATTTTGTCTTCAAACCGCGCGTGACATTTGGTACTTCTAGACTCTAACGTAATTTTACAATACCAAACTGAAGTCTGAATAGTGCTGATTTCACGTAAATAACGTTTAATCTACTGTTACTCCATTACGTAAAGGTGTCTTTTTTTGTTGAACTTTTATTTTTTACCGCGAGAACGTAGTTTACAAAGAGATGAAATATTCTCAAAGGATTTTGTAATGTGGAAAAATCATTTAGATCAATGAGCTAAGTCCGAATTTTCCTTCTGCATGGGCTTTTTCGTAAGAGACCACAGTGGTCGCTATTTGATAATTAAAACAGGTTTAATATGTTTATTCTGAGTGTAACATTTTGCTACGGTAAATTTTCCTCAAGTTCAATAAGATGCTTGTGCCCCCTACATAAAACGACTGAGGACCACAATTAAAAACAAAAGTATTTACTTGTCATGGAATTTTTGGTAAATGAAAGTTCCCCCAACTCAAAATGTACATGGTAACAACCCCCCTTCAATTGAACTTCATCCTATGGTCCTAAGAATTATACTTTATCTAAATTTTCATGTAGGTGCTAGTCCCCCACCACTTTTGTTGATGCACGATATTCACCGGAAAAATCGATCAAGCATTTTGATATTAAATGTATCAAAAAGTTTTTAAAAAGAAGGTCGATCACACCACAACCCCAACACTTCGGATTGTGCATTGATAGTCATCATTTTTATACATCTATAAAATAAATCTGATTATTGCCTAAACAAATTGTAATAATTCCCAAGACATATTTCAATCCGTCTTGTGAGCTTACGTGCCTGAACATTCTGTTTTCAGTTTTAATCTTTCTTAAGGTAAGATCTAGTAAATGAAAGGTGCCCACAGATATATAAAATTTAAGAAATAAATTCCTTTAATGATGCTTTATAACTTTAGTTTGGTCAAATAAGGTGTTTCGGTGCATAATTCGTAGGTCAACAAGATGAAAATCATATTTTAAACTGTCATTTTCAATGAAAAATTAAGAAAACCGGTCATGAATATAGGAGTTTTTTTTCCTTATCAGACAAAGAAAATGCATCCAGATTGCCTACAGTCTTTCAGAAAACGGTAATTTGTATGTTCTTGACCTTTTCTTTATAATTATTATATTGTCAAATTTAATATAGGTATCCGGACTACTTTTCCTGTGATTTCAAATTGAATTCCATGACAATACTTTATTTTCTAATAATTTAACTTTAGTTGTAACACGTCATTTGATTGGGTAAAAGATTTAATATATTTCGTATATAACATAACTTGCCTACATCACAATGAGTTACGTCAAAAACGTATTAATCCATAATACATAGAGCCGTATTAAAGTACTGGAAAAAGAAAGTGAAAAGTGATTTTGACGTCATAATGGATCTGCACCAAAATGTTAGTCTTTAAAAAGACATTCACTTAAGAAATGAATTTAATTTTTGAAGATTCATGAGGTCATGAACTACGACGCTTCACGCCGGCATATTTATCATGAAGCGCGTTAGCGCTTAATGACAAATATGCTGGCGTGAAGCGTTGTAGTTCATATACCTCATGAATCTTCAAAAATTAAATTCATTTCTTATATTTACATTATTTTTCTGATGAGTTGCCATAAACTTTCGCCATTCAACTGTCATTTTTAAAGCAAATTAGTGTGGACTATATTTTTTGACGTCAAGTGCGGTATTATGACGTAACAATGGAGATATTCATGCTTATTCGTGGTACATATGTAATTTAGTTCATGAGAAAATATGCTGCATTTTATTTTGTAAAGAATTATAGGGGAAATTTATTAGAAATGTAAATATTTGAGAAATGAATTTAATTTTTGAGATTCATGAGGTTATGAACTACGACGCTTCATGCCAGCATATTTCATGAAGCGCTAACGCGCTTCATGATAAATATGCCGGTCTGTAAAGACGAATAATGAACCCATATAATCATGACCGGGGGTCATTTTTCGACAGCGAAAAATGACCACCGGTCAATATTCTACGGCGAAAAATGACCCTTTTGCCCGTAGAAAAAGTGTCACCACCCTAAAAATATGCAGAACCCACGTGAAGAAAAATGACCCCTGTAGAAAAATGACCCCCTGTGGATTAAAGCTGAAATTTTTAGGGGGCATAAAAAAAATTAGATAAAGAAGCATATTGGGCAAAATGCTCACCTGAGCTTCTTGGGAATAAATTGATGATATGTTGATCTCATAACATTATACAATTATAGCTATATTTCAAGGTCAATGCGATGATTCAGAATCTAAAGGAGTAAAAAATTTATCGAGCCTGTAAGGTTAGGTAAACATTGTTTTTCGATGGTGAAAATCATCGTACTGACAGAAAAAATCTGCAGTATTACATATTATTATATCCTCCGCTTGAAAAGCGGGAGGGTATATATATAGTGATCGGAATGTCCGTCCGTCTGTGACGCTTTGGGGTATCCATCTCTTATCCGCAACTCCTCTTATATATAAAAAGATGTGTTTGTGAAACAGCTATGCCCCTGTATGGCAATATAGCGAAGATTAAACTTTTCTTAAATGCAATTTAAAGAGGCTGGGTGGTCATGGCCATTTTTAGACTATTTTGATTTCCATTAGAAGAAGAGCTCCATATAAAGATATAATAAAATGACCAAATTTTAAAGCTAAAATTTATGAAATTTTTCTTTGCCAAATGATAGTTGACAGCTTAAGATATCATATCCCAAAATTTAAGTTATATCTGGTGGTTAATAAAAAGATAATTAGTTGACCCCCTAGCCTCCTTAAATATATTGGTACCCAAAGTAGGGTCTTCTCACAAGAAATACAATTGCAAAATAGGAAAGCCCAAGCACCACCTGTTCAAAAGTAATGGCTAAGGATAAGTTTTTTGAAAGGTAGGTCAAACTCAAAGGTCAAAGGGTCAAAGTTGATGGTTTCTTAAGAAAGGTTTAATGTAACAAGGATAGCATATGTGAAGTATGAAAACCCTAGCCCTTACCGTTCAAAAGTTATGGCCAAGGTTAGTTTTTTTCTTAAGTACTGTACGGAAATCTCCAAGGTCAAGGTCAGAAGGTCAAAGTTTTTAGCATCCAATGAAAGGTCATGCCATAAAGAATACATATGTGAAGTATGGGAGTACTAGTATCTACTGTTTAAAAGTTATGGCCAAAATAAAAATTTGGTATTTTTGTGTAAAATGGGACAAACTCCAAGGTAAAGGTCAAATTTAGTGGTAACCAAAGTAAGGTCTTGTCACCAGAAATACACATATTAAATATGAAAGTCATAGCTCCAATAAATGAGAAGTTATGGTCAAGGTTAAAGTTTTTTCGGACAAACAGACCGCCAGATAGACAGACAGACATACAGATGAACACGATAAAACTATATACCCCCGAATCTTCAATTACGTGGACATAAAAAGAAATGGTCTTCAATTAACGTTTCATATTATGATACAGTATAAAGAAGAGGTTACAAAAAACGAAAATGTTTATTCTGATTTTCATATTAAATTCTCTGAAAAATATACTCAGAACTGAGTAAAAGGGTAGAGTAAAACAAGAATTAAGAAATGTAATGAATACTGTGTGCTAAATCAAAAGGTTATGCCTACATGTATAGTTTTTGCATTAGAATGTGTATTTTACACTAGCCTATAGCTTAACAGAGCATATTTTTAGGTGTAATATCCACCCCACCCCTAACATATTTAGGAGGAAGTCGATTATCAACAAAAGCAACAAAAAAAACTACCCTACATTTATTTTTCTATAATGAGGGACTAAAATAAGCTTAAAATAATCTACTATTCTACTAATTTTCAACTGTTACTTTACCACAATACTTTCAAGTATACCCCCACCAACATTTAAAGTATGCTTTAATCATGGCCAAGTAAATTATGATATGAACTTCATTTCAATATTTTATCTAGAGCCTTTTTCAGTACTATTGAAAGTTATAAAGTTTTATAAATATTTTTGCTTTTCATTTATTATTTTTTTTTTTTTTTGATTTAACGTAATGTTCTTTTTTTTGGCGGGGGTATAAAAAGAATATGTATTTGCAAAGATTTAAAATATCTTTAATCATATAGTGATAGTCTAAATGTATAGGATGGAACATATAAAAAATATACAGCATCGAGGCGTCCTGTAATCCATTTCTATTTTTACTC